TTTTTTTTTTTGGGGGGGGGGGGGGAGTGGTTATTTCCTCATGGACCGTTTTGGCAAACAGTTTCTATGAGCAATTCACGAACATTGAGCTGAGCTTCACTAATCTCTTTTGTCAACGAAGATCTTGGTTTCGGCATTTTCTACCGTTTACCCACTTCTTTCACATTATAGTTCAGCTTGCAGTTATACATTTTCCATGTGCTTGTCAAACATTCGTCAAATGGATTTTTGCTATCACTTCAAACTGACTTTCCACTCGCAGTACCAAATACACATTTATCATATATCATACGTGACGCTGCCAATCAAATTTCTCAATTTATCCGATAACGTAACGCCGTAAAAACATTTGACTAGTGTTTGCCAATTTTTGCTGCAAGTCACATTTTTTTCCCCGTTAGTCGCAGTTACGATACTTTGCAGTATTTACGTTATAAATTTCGCACCCGTATCCATTTGTCTATTGTTCTTCACTAACGTTAAATAACATATCTTGCCAATTTCAGCGCTTGAAGTTTCTCTGTCGAGTCGTCAGTCTGCGAATCTTGATTGTGATATTTGATTGACAGCACACGTTTCTCTGAACCGGTAGTCACATTAGAACATTACCTATTGTATAATATGTATAACCGGTTGATAATACAGCAACAAGTAGATGCTGGTATTTTTTTAATTTACTCATCATCCTGTGCATTTTAACGTAGCTTCCCATTTAAATTTTAGTATGCAATATCACACACTGTAATGTTCGACAACGCTGCACATAACGCGTGTCCCGTTACATTATCATCCGGCGATCACACGCACCGTCGACGAGTTGGTCAAAATATATATTATATAAAAAAGAACCACAGTGTAATATTAATACAATGTCATTATCATTATATTGTCGAGAACAACTAATTACAACTAAGTCGCATTTAAATACATATTTACATTCAAGAAGTAGATTTCACTCGCTCCTCTTTATATTTTTTATTTTCTGTTTTTTTTTTTGTAATTTTTATCTTTCGCTTCAATTCGCCTTTATAATTGTCAGTATTATCGTTTAGAAGCTTCCGTCGCAAAGCTGGATATTTCGGAAAAGGAATCTCCTTTATCGCTGCTCGTTTCGCAAGACGCCACTTTATTTTTACAGTGTTTATATGTCACCTACACAATGCATCTTTTAGTGACGGGGTGCGCACGTGTGTCGATCGTACAGAATCATGGATAGTATCGAGAAGAATTAGGGTGAGGTTAGGCTGGGACATATTATAGGTTCGGCAGGTACCGATAGAAAAGAGATGAAAGGGAAGAGGGGAGGCAGAGGCATAAACGCGAATCTCACTTAAAAACTCGATCACTTTTCAATAGGCAGTTCGTACATAAAACGCGTTAAAAGTCGTAGAAAAAGTTAAGGTCGCGACGTACGACGTTTTCACGAAAGCGCGCATGACTGTATTTTAAGCTAATAACCGACGATAAGGATGTATCGACGGTAATTTGTCAAGGGATAATCGTGTCACGTGCAGCTGCTATTCTCTGCTGTTTTGTCCGATCTCCACTTGTGCTATCCGGTTTTTACTTCTTTCCGGTCCTTCCGCTATGAAATTGCTCTCGTCAACCCCCTCAAAGATATATCCTATCGATCTTCAGCCCTCCCCCTTAGTCACCCGCCTGCCTCAAGGGATGAGCTTACACGAGACTGCCACTATTGAAAAGTAACCAATTTCCGGCGGGACGATTATTTCAAGCACGTCCTAACGAACTCGTGTGCGTTTCTGTGGACGAGCGAAGCTCGTAGAATGCCAAGACGAAGAAGAATCTTGAGCGTTACTCTTGGTAAGATGAAATATTTTTTGAAAAAAGTTTCATACGAGGAGATGCCGTATTTACATATCGGGGCTTCGTGTCGAGTAATTGCATTCCTCTTGGTGATATGTTGTGTGTTTGGAAAACGTATCGTCGCTTTGGCGGATCTGCTGGGAAAGTTGGAGGATCGCCTTTAGCGACAGAATCGTTTATGCGGGTGGAATTGATTTGGCCGATAATTCGCACGGAAACGGTTTGTGTAGGATACGTTTAGCGTTTGCAGGCGAACTCCTAACCAAAGTAATAGGTCTTGAAGCGGAGTTACTGGAGATTGTGCCCCGTAGCGGTTCTTAGCGACCTGTACAGCGACTTGGCAATTTATCAAGAAAGTTCGACTCCCGATATCACTTCGAAATTGGTATTTACATTCCGTGAGAAAATCAGAGTAACGCGGTCCGATTGAAATATCGAGGACTTTGGATGAGGTTTAAGATTATCAAGTTTTTCGCATTATTTTATCAAGCTGGAAAATGTATCTCGTACGGGAGAAACGTGCCTGCTGCTCCATGTGCATGAGGCTTAGAATAAAGGAGACGTTGCAAAACTTCCATGCTGACTTGGAAGAAGTTTCTCCTCGTAGTGTCGAGTCACGAACGTATCAAATGTCCAGGATAGTCGCGCCGAAGAATAAAGGTGGATGAAAATTGGAAGGAATTTCATCGCCATACAAGTTCCCGGCCACGTGGGGATATGAATGAGAATTGGGGGCACGAGGGCTGGACGGGGCGACGCTGACGCGCTATTCCTGTCATTTTACGTCATTGAAACGCACGTATACATGCGATAACGTCAAGAAAGTAAAGGACAATCGCAGTGATCGATTTCTGGCGCTAAACCAATCCTGGGTTATTCATGTGTTTATCGAAGAATTCCTTCTTCCGATACGATACGATTCGTTACGAGACGCCGTGAGCATTTTACCATCGAAAACTTCTAAATAAACAGATGAAATTTTATCCAGCACTCTGACACAACAGACACAATTCTAGACACAATTTCATTGATGCACGTGCGAAATAGTCGAACGGCTTATGTTAAACATTGCATCTGACACCGAAAAACATCGAGATTAACTGGATTAAAGCGACGTCCATTATCGAAGCGATACACGCATCGTTTTTTGGAAGGACTCGTGAGTCCTTATAGTTTTATTACGTGTTTCCTTGATTCTCCTCTCACTCTCTCTCCCCCTCTGTCTCTCTTATACGTAATGTTTCTTAGCTTCATTAAGAATTACCGTGCGAAGAAAGACCTGCTTTCAACTTTTACATTGTAATTCATCTCGTTCGTCCAGCCTTGTCAATAAATTTATACACGTCATCAGGAGAGAGAAAGAGAGAAAAAAAGTGGAAAAATGAAAAAGTGGAGTACAGTGCGTAAAGGAGAAAGAAAAACGAAAAGTGAGTCGTAACGTTCTATGACGACAACAACGACGAGGGAGATTTGATTCGCCTTAGTTTTTAAGAGATTTCGATTCGCTTTGTCAAGAGACCTGGTCCAGTTGCACAAACAGCAATTAGAGTTGCGTAAGAGCCTGAGATCCACGACCGAGGCTACTTCAAGCCGAATTAGTAAAGTAGCAGACAGAGGCAGAGTAGAAGCGAGTACAGCCTAGGTTGCTTGGCCTGACCGCCGTGCTGCATTGCCGCAGGATACTCTCCTGAAACAAAGGACATCACTTAAATTTTCCGAAGTACGAGCGGGGTCCTCAGAGTAGCGCAACACATATGTCTATAGTCGATACGCGATCGAGTACACCATCGAGTCACTCACCATTGAGTACGTGAACGGTAATGGATTTTGGCTGGGCGTTGCTGGGGTTGCACGTGTAGCGTCCAGAATCCGATGGTTTCGCCTGCTGGACCAATAGAGAGCTCGTGGTACTGTCGCCCTTTTCCGTGACGACAGAGACGTCACCTCTGGTCGAGTCGTAGCTGATTATCTGCAAGAAATATCGAGCGCGCGCACCTCAGTCGTTTGCAGAGATAAGGATTGGGAAAATCGTCGAGCGAGACACTCATTGGGAAATTGGCCTGAAGTTATTGATCCTCTTGGCTTTATCGTCGTAGAGACGATAAAACCGAAGGATCGCGGTAGTTTGGAGTCGATCGGTGTGACGCGAGTAAGTCGTCCTGATGGGTTTCTACGTTTGAGGAAATGTATGTATTAAAAAAAACGGCGAGACTGGAATGCGCGAGAGACGACAGTGGGTCAAGGGGCGAGGGGCGAGGGAGGGGGGTAATCGAAGAAGACGAAGAAAAAAAAAAATAAATTAAGAAAAATCTAACGTCACCACTCGTCAACCTGACTCGCTACTCTTGACCGCGATTCTCTTTGATGGCTGCTGTCTCAAATTATCCGAGGAAGATTAATAGAGAGTAATTAGTATTTTACGTGCGCCAGGAGCCACCAGCTACCAACACCCAGGTCCCCTTGAGGAATACCAACCGGTCTGACGGTGATTCTGCAGTCGTACCGTCGACTCTCGTCGAGCGACAGCTTATTTCAAGCCAACGTTGAAACGCGAAGAGATCCCTAATTAATTTCACGTGAAAAGTTTAGCAATGCTTTAGCGGTTTCATAAATAATTCCCATTTCAATTGAAAAACAGCCGGCGTGACGTTTCTGTTCGTAGTGTCAGTACGTAGCGCGGAAAGTTTTCCTGAAAGTGTGGATTTCTCTTTTTTACGCGAGCTACGAACACGTATAGATATTTCAGTGCCGTTCGTAACGGATGAATCTTTTTTTTAATATTACCTAAACGCAAAGAAATGCAGGCTCCCCCGATAGACACATGTAAAAATCAGTTGTATATTTTCCTTCGCAGACAAATTGCACTTGACGTCGTGAAAAATGTTATCGGAGAATAGCCTGGAGCGCCGTGATCCAGGATGACTTAATCTCACTTGATCATCGTTTCTTATCAGATAACATTCTTAGCTCACGTCCAAGTGAATATCCAAGCATCGAACTTGTATCATTTTTCCATAGTAGTAGCATCCATACGTTATACGTGTATCTTCTGACTGGCCAACGAAATTCTTCAGCTCATCTATAATTCCGTGCATCTTCGAGTGAAACCTTTGCTGACTAATATTTTCACAAGGTGGAAGCTATATCGGAGAATATAGAGGCAAGAAAAAGAGGCCAGACAGAACATGACACGAGAAGGACTGATGAAGGTAGGAGTATAGCAACGAGCCAATGGGAAATCTTGGAAGACAAGGAATATTAAGTGGGAAGGAATAAGGTAGTTAGGACGACGTCCCTTGAAATGGTTTTCCTGGTCGAAACCACCGTTATCAGTCTACGTCTGGGTACTGGCAGAACCTCTTCTATCTCCATCTCATTGCGCGACCCTTCCACCCATACGGGGGAGGATCCACCATCGCCACTAGCTCCATCCTGGAGGTACCTACACCTTCCTGAACTCCCTAGGCGCACTCATTTGGATTGCTAAATTCATTTCCAGATGTTAGACCAAAAAGCTTTCCTGGTTGGGTTGGCACGAGCGTCGATCCTGGGCGAATTTTCAGATCGAAGGAAACGGATGTCTTCGCTATTCCTTGAACCGCGCGTTCCTTCCGCAGGTGCATTTTAATTTGCACCGGACGCAGCAGAGGTCTCGTAATATCAATCGTGCCTTGCGATTCGCCGAACGTCGAATGCGTCAAGTGTTTGTCGACCGAGAGTTTTCCGGAATTTTATCTATCTTCTCGATGTAGTTATGTACTCTGGTGTTCGTAAATCTCCACTTTTTTAACTTGCAAATCGAATGCATTTACAACCACTAGAGGATTACCCGGAATGGCTTCATAGTATCTACCATCCTTCTCTCTTTGAGCCTCATAAAAATTCCAATGAAAATCTCCACTCATCTCGAATTTCTAGTGACTTTCATGCGTTTCTTATTAATACATAATATTATGGATATCAGTGATTGTTCAGTTGGTTTTCGAATATTTAAGGGATGTTTGCGAGGCCATGACCTTATGGCCATGGTAGCATTACATCACAGGAAATTAAAATTCAGCAACGCGATATACGTGACACATGTAGATAAATGGATCTTCCGGCATGCTCGGGTTACGCTATCGAAATCGTCGTCAAACATCAAACATTTGTAAAACTCCAGAGATTCGGCTAACATTTGAATGGGGTGGTCAAACATAGCAGCGGTTAGCCAAAGGTTTCTCCCGGTACCTTCGTCCTCTATAGAGACGTTTTCCTATTCCGCACACATTGGCAGCTCTCGTTGCGTAAAGTCCTCCATTTACTTATGTCGATACAAGCTGGATGCAGGCGACAAGCTTCTCCAATGTAAACTGCCCTCCGGCTGGAAACCGAGGAGAGGAATGTCACGTTTCCACACGAATGGCAGCCGCGACAACACTACCGGAAACTGGAAACCGCAGTGAACATCTAACCTCATCACTCGACTGTGTATACCCTTCCTCTACCAAGATATAATTTTACCAGGGGCCAATTTGGCAGACTGCTCGCGATACTCGCAATGTCTCTCTCACTTGGCCATTTTCCAAAAGTGCAATATAAATAAGCCGCGAAATGATTTTTCTTAAAAATCCTATAATTGGCTTTTCTACCCAATTTCGCCGGGAAATCGTCTTACCTGGGGTTCAGCGGGAAATAAAGAGCAGGACGATCGTGTAAGTAGGATTCGTTTTGGACTACATTGAATTTTATATTTTTCCTGGTCAGCGACTCGCCACCGGGTCTACCGAGATTAACCAAGCCAGAAGGGTCGTAATGCTGTAATCGCATGGGTTCTATGAGATAACATCGCTCGGTGGTGGCTTGTTGCTTTGCGAACGATCAAAGTCAGCCACAAGCAACCCTTTCTAGTCAGGGTTGCCCACTGTCGCGTTCCACAAGCGATCCCACCGATCCCACCAATCCCACCCAGCAACTGAAATCCTCTCTCTCTCTCTCTCTTCTACTTCCCATCTACCCACCTACTTCTTTTTCACGAGCCACGAAGAAGACTGTTAACTACGACCTCCAACCTATAACCCACTACTACCTTCTGACCGAAATCAGTCTGCTGCCGGAACTTTTCTGGCAGCCAGAGGAAATTCCTCTTCGATTTCACGAGTTTGAAGATCCTTGCCGGTGGACTCGTGCTCCGAATATCAAGGAGCACCAGCTTCCGGAAAGCTTTCCCAGTGGTGCTTACGAGATTTTGAGCGTAGTAGCTACCTTATCCTTATAGCAGGTCTTAAGAATCCTCCTATAGAATACGGATTTCCTTTTTAGAGCATCTTTGGATTCTCGTATGTTCTGCATCGGTCTATAGATGCGTCGGTGCATCAATACCTGGATCAGTAGCTGATGCAAGATCAGAAGCTTCAATCGATATCGTGTTATCAGAATTATCGGCATCGCCACGTGCAACACCACACACCCGCACGTACTCAGGTATACACACGTTCGTGCGGACGCACATCCCGAAATGAAATTACCCGATCTCAATTTCGCTTTACGTATGTCATATACTTTTTCTTACTTGCAAAGTTGATCATTCAAAAGTATACACAGAAGTATAACCAATGGTACTCTCGCATATTACGGGCACGCTTTTCGGGAATAGCAAAAGTACAGCTTGCATTGCTGATCAATTATGAGGATAAACGACTCGGACTCCGAAAACAAGGAACTCGTGGACTTTCTAGGCTTGATGCTATATTCGTAAATGCAAGTTATACTTTTTTTTTTACTATTTCCGATAATTATTCCCGTAGTATGCGAGAATAACGTGGGCTATACTTTTAGGAATACTTTTGATTGATCATTCGCGGATCTACCTCATCATTTTTTCTCGGACTCCTAGTTCGCTTAGGGTGCTTCCCGGTTTTTTCTCTACTTTCGAAATTGACCGAAGCCCGTCTTTCTAACCCGTTACCTCACACAATAGGGTCAGAGAGAGGTTTGCGAGTATCATGAAAAAAAAAAAAAAAAAAAAAAAAAAAAAAAAAAAAAAAAAAAAAAAAAAAAAAAAAAAAAAAAAAAAAAAAAAAAAAACCAAGGTACAGGTGGTTGTCGCACTGTCGTCTGATTTATGTAAGAGCCAATTACGATTACAGTAGCTCTAGGGTGCACCTGCGAAGCCTATAGAATAAAGAACTCCTCTTATCTATATAACGCGACCAGCACGAGAGGGTATTAATTTTAATGTATCACGAATACATGGTCGAATGTGTATAAAAATAACTTACGATCAATATGACCCTTCCACTTAGATGGGACGAATTTTCCAAGATTTACGTTTTCCTCTCCGCATTTGAATTTTTATATCGATATTTAATTAGACTTGGAATCTGCAGTACCAATGTAGGAACCCAAGGAATAGGTGCAGCAGAAGCAGGGAGGTTGGGGGAAAGCGGAAAACAAAGAAAAGAATAAAAAAGAGCATCGTGCTAGTCTATGCAGCGAGCGGGCTGGTAAACCCGATTTTCGATAAACAAAAAAACATAAAGATTTCCCTTTTCCAGCGGAAAACATAATACGAGTCAAACTAAGGTGTACCAATCCTACCTTTGCCATTAGACCCTGACGCGAACAGAATCAAACGAAGAACTAAATCGTTTGGCCTAGTTTGCCAAATGCAAATGCCGCTTGTAATTCTGGCCCCGGAAACATTTCCGACTATCTCGCATTCTTGTATGACAGTCGGCAGTTAGAGTAGCTGCTAGCCACTCAGTAACCATATCAGTGAGAGTATCAGGAACCACTCGGGTATATACGTATGTAGAAAGAGTAACATTACTCTTCGCCCTCAACTGATACATCAGTCGAAAGGAGTGCGTGAGTATTACCCACGAATGAAATGAATATATTCATACTCCCGATAACCAATCTGATTCATAGCTGCAGTTCTTAGAGCCAATCGTTACTTAACCGCTTCTCGGATAATTTTCTAAAGTCCAGCTTATCGTTAGCTTACCGCATCATTGTGATCCCAGAATATGTATGCCGGCGGCTCCGGACTGTGCAGTACGATGCACGTGAGATTGATCGTACTTCCACGATCGATGTAATGGTCGGGTCCACCAACGATCTCGGTTGTTGGCTCTGTAACACAAGAAATGAACGATCCATTTTACCTAATCGAGCATCTCGTAAGAATTGCTTGTTTGTACAAAAAAAAATTAATTTCTTTATTATTGCGTCAAGATCGTCTGCTAAATTGTCAGCTGCAATGAGGTATAGATTCTTAGGTAGAAAAAAGGTATTTAGGAGTGACCTTAGTCGTCCCTTTCTTTAATGGGAAAAGCAATGCGGTTGACCTGCTCCTCGCATCTCGAAAGAGCACTTTGAAGCAGCCCCACGTACATAGCACATCCTGCATCGCATCTGCTGGGTTACGTGAGGTCAGCAGGTAGATCGATGCGAATATTTTCCGGGCGGCCTCCTCTCTTCAAGGATTGACCGAAATAACCGGGAAGCGTGCTGCGGCCTTTGTGCAATAGCTATCACGATAGATAACCTTGCCATACCTTCTCCTCGCCATTCCCCATCTCTCCCGTCGCCATAAACAGAGTCTCCGTCAGCCCAACCCTTTCGACATGGAGTCAAGCACTGTGGAGCCAGCGGGTTTGGGCGCCTCGTGCGACAAGCTTTAAGACGCATTAGCATTGCAATAACGGTCAGCTACGTCGCACGTTACACAGAAGGGGGATGCGGATGTCTCACCCCGAAAACACTTAAACCGCATCGTCCCTTATTTCACGCAGGATGAGCTTTGATACTCCTAGGTAAAGGCATAGCAGAAGGAGGATTCACACGGGAGGTTAGCTTTCCGAGGTAAAAGGCGTGAAGATATGTTTTTTTCGTCTTACGTTATTCGGTCGGCTGGACTGTTTTTCTATGTGAACGCAATAACCTCACGTTTTGAAGTCACGTACGCGGCCGAATGTTCATGCAGATGTGTAAGCTCGTGGGTGTAATATATCAGTAGCTCATCGTGTATCGGCTTTCTTTGACTGGTGATGCTTCTCTCATTTCCCGTACAACGTCGCGCGCCCCATGCTGCCTTTGTGGTTTCAGTCGCTATTTGTGAACTGTCCACAAAGCATATTCATCCGAGATCGTATACCGTGTTGACGTTCGACCTAAATAAAGAACCTTGCACTATTTCACCTTATAGCCCGTACCCACGTAAATTACGTTACACGATACGACTTGACGATAGTATCTGCACTCTACAATCTGTAGCCTTCTTGAACGCCATTATGCAATCTCACTGGAAGGTTTCGATCGAGACCTAAAACCATGCAGTGTCGCACGATCTTTGAACGAAAGTTTGCATAAGGAGATGCTGACTCCGACTGTTCTTAGGTTACGTATGAAAATTCTTGACATATCTCTCTCTCTCTCTCTCTCTCTCTACTACTACTAACGAGGCAGAGACCTCAGTATAATAAACACTGTTTTTCTTCTTCTTCTTTCTTCTCTCTCTCTCTCTCTCTCTCTCTCGGTCTCTTGTTTGCTCTTTTCGGAATCCGCACGGAATTTCGGCACAGCTGTAAATAAAATTTCTACACTCACGGAAGCACTCGTGGGACTCGTGCCAACAGATGCGCCCGTGAGACGTTTGCTTTCGAAAAAAAAGTTGCCAGTTCTTTTGAATTTGCTCCCTTTTCGCTTAAGGACGACATCGCGAGGGGCACGCGCTTCGCGGGTATTCCATCGAGCGCGAATGGAATATCAAGCAAGAGGTTTTTCACTTCTCTATTTGTTCTTCGCCGGTAGGAGAATCGAACGTGGGAAGTTGCTATGGCTCCAAAGTTTCACCATTTTCTTCGGCAGCCTGGGCTCTGCTTACATCTTAAACCCATCAGCGAACACTGCCGTGCAAGCTCAAAAGAGCTCAACCCGTCCCAATGTTTTACGTTAACCTGAACGCAAAGTGCTCATCTAAGCGATCCCTGGCTGGGATACATTCAGGTATACCATACGCGTTCCTCTTTCGAGTGTATTATAGGAGTAAAATGACTAAAGGACACTTTGTCGTTTGCTGCGACACGGGAGAGTGGGCTAGTGGGTAAACTTTTCCCAAGATATTAGCTCGAACGCTGAAAAAGCTTCGTTGAAAACTCGACGAAAGGAAGCGACCTCAAAGTTTTCCTTTCTCCCTGCATTACTTTGTTTCTTTCAATTTCCCCCTTATTTTTTTCCTTCTTTTTTTTTCATCCTGTCTCGGTATAAAGTTTAATTGCACCTTCCTAAAACTTACGGACGATAAACACTGCTTCGTTCTTCTTTGGGCAATACGATTAGGCCAGCTGATTACGTTTAACCTAATAGCACGACTGCGAATGCATAAAAGGAGCTATAGGCTCAAGTATCTATGCATACATTACATAGTATAAGCAAGAATCGCTACGAAGAAAAGACCGAAGGAAACGAAGTAAGATCTGTCGAAAGAAAAGGGGCCCTCGGTATTGCTTATCCGATTCAAATTCTTTTTATCAGCTCGTTCCCGGGAGAGGAGCCGTGACTCGCGGCAGGCGATCCCATCTCATCTAAGTTTTTATTACTTCTCTCGGGCAATTTATTATGTTTATTGTGTTCCCAACTAATATTGGCCATCCGCATTGAGTGTAAAATCGACTCCGGCCGCTGGAAATAAGGGAAAAAAAAAGCAGTAGCACAGAGTCGGCACGTTGGATCTCGAGCCAGAGTGGCGTCTTACTCGCAAGTCGATACGCGGTGTCACGATTTCTCCGAGTTGGGAAGGAGCAAAGAACAAAATGGAAAATATCAGCGCTGCCTGTGCCCGAGGCGTTTCGCGTCTATCTACTTTTTTTTTTTTCGGGAAAACTGTAAAGAGAAAGCGAGAGAAGGATGAAAAAGAAAAATACGAGCGAATCGACAGAGGAAATCTCGTCGCTCGTAGCAACGCCAATCTTTTCTTTTTATTTGCAATTAAATTCGATCAAGCAGATTTTCCGAGGCTCATTATTTATATAACTAGTCTTGGCTGCGATACACGATAGGGTCTAGAGACGTATATTGACTTTACGAGGAGAATTCTTGTCTATAATGGTAAATCCACCGTGAAGCATATTAAAATAAAGCACGGCAGTTCACCGTGAAGGCTGTGAGCTGAAACGAAAGCTATGCGCCTGCACGTATATTCTCTGAGCAGGATCAATTCGCTCTAGTATTAAACATGATCTTGCATTATTAGACGCGAACGTGCAATATCCATGATTTAGTTAATACCCGTCAAAGAGAAGGATGGCTGGGGGATAAAGATTTTCTATTGATTTACTTTTGATATTGTGTTTTTTCAGGAGACTCGCGACCCTCGCGACAGACGATTTCGATTTCGATATTTTCGACTGTCGGATATTTGAAAGGGGTGTGCGGATGTGCGTGGGCCTGACGAGTAGGAGAAGGAAGAGAAACACGGGAGAGACGAGAATCCGGCGTTCAAGGGGCAGTTTTAAGGAGACTAGGCATTGACGGAAATTGTTGCTAATTGTCGGGTGCCACAGAGACACAATCGGATTTTGCGCAACTGTCATGAGAAATCGATCGCGATGTCTACCCTTTGTTTTCGTTGCTCTTGTAACGATTAATGGCTTCGGTGGTATATCTTTTGTTCCATGGCATTATCGCGGAATGCTCGCTGAAAGTCGAGCGGGCAACTTGATAATTATTAGAAAAAGACCGAAGCAACGTGAAGCCGATTCAACGAGTTTTGTTTTATCGTTTCTCTCTTATCCTCTCTTCCTTAATCTTCGTCACAGTTTATACGTTCTCTGGCATTTACCACTTTCGAAGATAAAGGGCTTTCCATTATTTTTCCCCGATGTTCGGTATTTCATATGAACAATGATCGAAAACGTTCCGGACGGGAACGTTTATGGGCGATTAGGAAAAGTACAGTCGAGAGGATTGTAAAAAAAAAAGGAGCGAAACATAGAAGGAATATCGAATAACTTGCCAGAATCGAAAACCAGTCAGCAAAACGAAGGAGGATAGGATGGAAGGTAGCAATGCGCGAGAGCGTTGTCAGATCTGGGTTGCAGCTCGGAAAGTAGGCTGGCAAGCAACGACCAACAGGAAGCGCAAATTACCAGACAGCTTGGGAAGACAAGACTTTTGCGGTGACTCAAAGAAATCGTAAACGGCTGATAAAGCTCGACAAGCTCGTTTCCCCTATTTGCCCCTTTCTTCTTCAAATCTTTTCCCTTCCTCTTTCCATCTCGGGTTTTGTCCTGGCTAGACTCGCCACTCTACGCCGCTTTTTTTTCCAAGATATTTTCTTATCAGCAGCCTGGTTCATCTTCTGGTCGTTAGGCATTCTTCCCAGTTGGTGGAATTTCCTTTTCGGAGTTTCACCGCATCCGTTCCCACAAGTCTGGCACAATGGGAAGAGTCAATTCCAGGAGCCACACATTTCCTTGGCTACGAGATTCCTCTTCTTCGTCTTCATCATTCTTTTTTACCCCACCGACCCGACACCTTTTCCTCATTCGTCCTCCCTATCTCTTTTCTCGCTTTTCTTTGTTTTTCATTTGTGGCACAAGGCCTCCTTTTCCGCGTCACAGTTACCGCCCAATTTTCATACGTTTGGTGGATTGCGTGTTTTTTTATACATGACAATCTTAAATTAAATCCCATGCGAACCTAACCTAACTTAATGACCTAAGAACGAAAGATAGAATGCGGTACGCGGATGCGAGAGCCATTGTATTCATTTCTCGAAAAAAAAGTTCTTTCTGCACTTTAAACTTCTGTCTCATATTTTACACTAATTTACAACTTTACGAGTCCAACAATAACACAAGGCGCCTTCAACCCCTAGTACTTTCGAGTAAGAAGTTTCGTCCTGGTTCAACTTGCGCGCTGCCGGTATAATTATAATTGTGACCAAAGGAACCTGTCGCTAATTGCTCTCCTGGAATTTTATGAACTATAGACACGTAAAAAAGAAAGAAAAAATAACTAACATGACCAAATTCACGCTCCGGTTTTAGTCCTAATATGGAGCAATCAGTCTGACGAGCAATGAAAAAACCGAGCAATTTTAGTACAAGGAAATAAAAAGTCTTAGATGA